CCGTGACAGTGGTCAGGAGCTGATGCCACCGCGTCTCCCACCAGCCTCGGCCGTGGGGTCAAACCCAGGTGCTGGGGATGGGAGGACGTGTCCGATCTCTCTGAGCACCACGTCCTTTGTCCTTTGCCCACGGCCAGGCCTGGAGGACGTGGGTGCAGGACCGATGGCATCCCACAAGGCTCACCCTGTCCCCCCCACCGCTGCGCTCCTCCCCACCTCTCAATGCAGGGCCCTGACCATCGATCGCCCCTTCTTCCCCCGGCAGGCACCCAGGTCAGCTTCCCCAAGTCGGCTGATGCCTTCGCCTTCGAGGAGGACAGCAGTAACGACGGGCTGTCCCCGGAGCAGGCCAGGAGCGAGGACTCCCCGGGCTCCACCGAGCTGGCCCCCAAGCCCCCGGACCCAGCCCCCCCCGCCCCTGCCGGGGTGCCCCAGGTAGGGCCCTGCCTCCCTGGGGAGCACGGGAAGGGGGTAGTGGGACTGGGCGGGAGCCCCAGGCCAAGGAACTCGCCTCGTGTCGTGAGGGGACCCCACAGCCCCGCGTGGAGGAACACGGGACTGCACGGGGCCGCCGCGCCCCCTGCTGTCCCGCGCGGGTACTGCAGCCACCGTGGGATGGAGTGAGGGACTGGTGGGGGGACTGGAGTGACTGGGGAGGCTGAGGGGAATGGAACGGTCTGGGGTGGACTGAGGAAGACTGAAGGGACTGGGATGGACTGGGAGGAACTGAAGTAGACTGGGGTGGGGGAACCAGAGGGACTGGGACTGGCCACAGGTGGACTGGCGGAGCTGGGCTAGTCTAGGGGACACTGAGGGGCCAACGGTGTACTGGGGGGAACAAGGATACAGGGCTGAGGTGGAATGGGGAGGGCTTGAAGCCTAGGGTGGACTGGGATGGACTGGGGAGACAGAGGACTGGGATAGCCTGGGGGAGTGGGGATAGTAGGCTGGGATAGACATGGTGGGACTGGGATGGACTGAGGCATCTGGGATGGACGACGGGACTGGGGAAAACATGGGGCAGGGAGAATGGGGTACCAGGTGTCCCTTGTGGGTGGAGACCAGCCCCACATCCCCTCTCCCATTGCACGGCTCACCTCTCCCTTGCAGGATCAACCCCACAGCGCCGACAGCCATGCACCAGACCCAGCCTCGGCACAGAGCAGCCAGTGTGACAGCCCCAAGCAGACAGCGGGGCAGGAGAGCCCAACCCTCCCAGTGCCCTCTGCCGTGAAGGTAATGTCTGCCGAGGAGAGGGAACAAGTCCAGGGCACCTGGCTGCGTCCACGCCTGAAGTGCCTGCATGCTGCACCCCACATGTGTGAGAGGTCTTAAAGGCTTGGAATAATGCAGGGAAACAAATCTTGTTGTCAAAAACTGCAATTTGATTCATTTTGTAATGGTACAAGATATAGCATTACACCTTGCTAGAGATGATTGCTCAGGTTCTGCACTGGAAACGTTCCCTGGGGCTAGGAGCAGAAGGAGATATAAGGCAACACTGAACTACCTTCCAGGCAAGGAGGGACATTCTCCATCTCATGTGTTTTCCAGCACAACTGAGATGGGATGCAGCCCTGAGGGAGTTCCCCACATGCAGGCTCAGCAGCTCCTGGAGCATGAGTGTCAGGGTGCTGGCAGGAGCTGCCTTTGCTCTGTCCCAGGCCTCTGAGTTTCCACGGGGGTGGCAGGAGCTCTTCTCCCAGCTAATTCCTTTCCTTCTTGGACCAACAGTCCAAATCATCCAGTGATAGCAAGAACCGTCACAAAAAGCCCAAGGACACCAAGCCCAAGGTGAAGAAGCTGAAGTATCACCAGTACATCCCTCCAGACCAGAAGGCAGAGAAGTCCCCTCCACCCATGGATTCTGCATATGCCAGACTCCTCCAACAGCAGCAGCTCTTTCTGCAGCTCCAGATCCTCAGCCAGCAGCAGCAACAGCAACAGCAGCAGCAGCAGCAGCACTTCAGCTACCCAGGGATGAACCAAGGCCAGATAAAGTGAGTGGCAATGTGCCAATGGCAGGGTTTAGTCCTGTCTCTCTCCAGACTTTCCCCTGCTGTACCCATTTGTGCCAGTGCAAGGGAGATGGATGCATGCAAGTGAAACATAAAAGCTTGGGAACAGCACAGACTCCTGCAAAGCTGTTCTGGCTTTGTGCATTGCCTAGGGCATCTGTGACCTGCTGGTGGGTCACCAGCAATCTCCTTACAGTCCAACTTGGTTTTCCCTGGGGTTGGCAGTCCTTCAGGTCTCATACAGGAGATAGCAGCCCCAAGGGAGCAAAGAGATGGTACATTGGGCACAGAGACCCCAGGGGAACAGACAAGTTACCCCAAGTCTCCTTTGTTATTTCAGGCAACCAAATGAGCAAATGGTCAAAAGTTCAAATTCTTCATCAACTCCTGTCAACAACACGCCTCTTTCTCCTGTGAAAACCAGCTTTTCAGGCCAGACTTGTGTCTCATCTATCAAGCCAGGCCCTCTGCCATCTAACCTGGATGATCTGAAAGTGAGTGCAAACTTTGTCACTGCAGGAGCAGAATCTTATAGCCTGAATGTGCTTTGCTACCCCTGAAGTGTGCAGTGTAGTGCCACAGGCTGAGCTGGCTGGGAGTGACCACCTGTTGCAAACCAGCAAACCAGAATCACCATGCTGTGAGCAAACCCAGAGGTACATCACAGTGGGTCAGGAACTGGTCACTGCGATGGTAACTGAAAACATGGGTTTGCTGCTCTACAGGTGCCTTGTGGGTGCCTTGCTCCAGGGCATGTAGCAGCAAATCTTGGGTATAATTTGAGATGGCTGCAAGCCAGGCCATCAGGTCAAGGACTAAAGAATGATCTGTGCTGCTTCATGCCTTCTGTGGTTTTATGGTTGAACATCATGGATGCTGCTGGCAGACCAGCCAGAAGCTAAGACATCAGCATGGCCTCCACTCAGTGACTCAGCTTCTCAGTGGTTGTTGCAGCCAGGCCTGCTCAACTTTCTGCACGACCAGGTATCTTCGGGAGTCTGCAGCCATGAGCACTGTTTGAACAGTACCTAAATCTCTTGTGTAGGCAAGACAGTCAGGGCATAAGGGAGAATCACTCACACCAACAGCTCTTTCATACTTTGTTAATGGAGCCTCAGCCATGGGGAAGGCCAAGTCCTTTTAGGAGCAGAAACCTGGGGGCAATACTCATTATTAGAGGAAGAAATAAAATTATGTAGAAATAACATGAGTTTGGCCATAGTGGTGCCCCAGCTCAGATGCCTGAACCATGTGCAGATGCCTGAACATGGAGTATCTGGCTCCATGTACATGGTCACGTTCTCTGAGATAAAGGATATCATCAGCTAATTCCTGGTCTGTGAGAAAGTCATCTGCTCCTGTAGAAACCTACTGCTAGGAAGGGACTCATGGGTTATCTCATGGCCCAAGGACCACTGCTGGTTCATGGAGAGCAATCACAGTTCCCAGAAGAAGGAAGGTTTTTCCTGTTAAGGAAAGTCAAGACCCTGGAGGACGTGCAGTGGTCAGGACTGTTCATGGTGACTGTAGGTGAGACAGTGAGCATCTGGGGGGACGGAGCTTTAAAGCAGGAAGGTGGGAGCCTGTGATCTGAGACTCCTTGTTAGAAACGTTGGGTTTCTAAAGGGCTCAGCTGCCATTGGGGCTGATCATTGGTGACTTTCCTTCTAGGTGTCAGAACTGAGACAGCAGCTCCGAATACGAGGCTTGCCTGTGTCGGGTACCAAAACAGCACTGATGGAACGGCTGCGGCCCTTCCAGGAGTGTGGCAGCAATGTGGTGCCAAACTTCAGCGAGATCACCACCGTCACCTTCCCAGTCACTCCAACAAGCACCCTGTCGAGTTACCAGTCACAGTCCTCCACCAGCATGTTATCAAATGGCTTCTACCACTTTGGCAGCACCAGCTCCACCCCACCCATCTCTCCAGCCTCCTCTGATCTCTCTGTGAGCGGCTCTTTGCCAGACACATTCAACGACGGGCCCATTTCTTCTCCACAGTTTGGTCTCCAGCCATCTCCGGTTCACGGCAGTGCTGAAGAAAGCCTCATGAGCAGCATGAATGGAGGGAGCATCCAGCTGGAGCTGGAAGGGATTGACACAGAGAAAGACAAGATGCTGGTGGAGAAGCAGAAGGTCATCAATGAACTGACGTGGAAGCTGCAGCAAGAGCAGAGGCAGGTGGAAGAGCTACGGATGCAGCTCCAGAAGCGAAAGAGAAGCAATGGCCTTGAGGAGAAGCAGCAGCCTGCTCAGCATTTCTTTGGTATCCCCATCAAGCAAGAAAATGCAGTGTCCAGCTGTCCATTTGCATCCAAACAAACTGCCTTGAAAGGCCAAGCCAGCAGTTCAGATAAGTTAAGTAACGGTGGGGTGCCACAGCTCCCTCACATTGTAAATAGCCACTGCTTGGAGCCTGCAGGGCAAAGCACCATCACCTCCTCGACATTCCTGAGCCCGCAGTGCTCCCCCCAGCACTCTCCACTCGGGGCTGCAAAAAGTCCCCAGCACATCAGCCTGCCGCCGTCCCCCAACAGCCACTATCTCCTCTCGGTGTCCCCTGGTTCACAGGCAGAAGGGCGCAGCGGGGCCCCACAGACCAACAGTTGCCTTCGCACAGCATCGGTAAGCGGAGACCGCCCCATATGGCATCGCGGTGGTGAACATGTTGGTGTCTGTGGGCAGTCAGTCAAACATCCCAGTTTGAGTCCTTTCCTATCAGACTGGGACTGCTGGCACCCAGGGTGGGTATCCAGGGGGTCATGGCAGCACATGGAGCTGCCTGGAAAGGCAGAGAGTATCCCAGATGGTCAATAGGTTGGAAGTTGATGGCACCACAGGGTCCTTTGCAGGACATCTCCTGGGAAGCCCTGCTGCCACCACACCTAATTGCCCTGGGGGGCCACAGCACAGCTCCCATGCCCTATGGAGCCCTGGCACAGCTCCTTCTGCCCTTGGGGACCCCTGGCACAGCTCCCCTCTTCCCCAGGGGACCACAGCATGGCTCTCTCTGCCCCTGGGTGAGCACTGGCAAAGCTCCCTGTGTTGCGGGAGAGTCCTGGCAGAGCATCCTCTTCCCCGTGAAGCCCTGGCACAGCTCCCTCTGCCCCTGGTTAAGCACTGGCACAGCTCATTCTGCCCCTGGAGGAGTCCTGGCACAGGTTCCTCTGCACTGGGGGAGCATTGGCACAGATTCTTCTGCCCTAAAAGAGCCCTAACCCAGCAGCCTCTCCCCTCAGGGGGAGGTCCTGGCATAGTTTGCTGTGGGGACTCTTGGCACAGCTTCCCCTGCCCCATGAAGCCCTGGCACAGCTCTATCCACAGCGGGGAAACACTGGCACAGATCCCTCAGCCCCTAGAGAGCCCTGGCACAGTTCCTTCACCTCTGGGAGAACCCCACTGCAGCGTTGCAGGGCTTTTCAGTCTCTTGATGAGCCATTGCGGCTTCTAGCATTGTGTGAGGGATTTTGACCACTGGATGGAAGGAGGGTAGTTACCCCAGTCATATGGGAAGCCTTTTCTTGGGAAGATAGATGAGGGCTTGCAATTGGTATCTGCAGTGAGGCACAGCTTGTACTTCCCCACCAGGCAACCAGCACAGCAGAGAGTTGTCCCTTCAGCATCCACCACTCCTCACTCAGCCCTCTGGACAGGCACAAAAGCTTGAAGAGGGGCACACGCTGCCAACACACAAAAGAAGCACAAAGTGCTGCTGATTGCAGCCCAAATTCATCCCAACACCCTACCAAGGTTTCCCAGGCAGCAGCAATACCTATCATACAGTCCGTAAAAAAAAAAAAACACACAGTGGTACAAGGCATGCACACTGCATTCAGGGAAGATGCAGAGCAAGCACATGCTGAGTGCACAACGGCCGCACAGCAGAGCAATGGCTGCTGCGAAATACCCAGCGCTTGAGCAGGACAGCTCATGAATCACCTTCCCGCAGTTAGCACACTGAGCAGCGTGTAGCAGGAGCCGGGCAATGGGGTGCAGTACTGCGAGGTGGCAGAAAAAGTGGGATGAGGTGAAAGTGGAAAGAGGATGGCGAGATAAGTGACATGGGCAGTTGGCATACAGCACTGCCAGCAAGGTGGGAAATGGGGAGCAATTTTGGGTGAGGGGCAGAGAGACAGAGTGCTGCCACTGGGATGGGCAGTGGAGTGCAGGGCTGTCGGGGTGAGGTAGGCAGTGGGGCTTGCTGCTGGGGTGAGCTGGGCAATGGGGAACATTGCTTTGGGTGAGCTGGGCAGGGGGGCAGAGAGCAGGGGATGCAGTGGGTGACCTTAGTAGCGGGGCACAGAGCTATAGAGGTCTGCTGGGCAATGGGGCAGAGCTGTGGGTGCAATAGGCAGTAGGACACAGTGCTGTGAGGTGGTACTGCAAGAGAGGCATTGGGGATACTCTGGATGACCAGGCAGGAGTCAGCAAGCATCAGCAGGGAGCAGGGACACCTCAGGGACATCTCCAGCTCCTTCCTCTCTGCCCGAGCGCAAGGGGCATATGGAGGGGATGGCACCACGGTGTCCTGCAGCTCATCTTGGCTGTGACACCAGCCAGCCTGGGCATTCTTCTGCTGCCTGCATGGGAATCCCAGGGCGGAGGGTCCCTCTTCAGCAACAGCTCCCTCTCCGTGCCCAGCACTGGGGTGCTGTACCCCACAAGCCAGGGATACTGTTCCTCCCAGCCATCCTCCACAGAAAGGTGGCCAGGATGAGCACAGCCAGGCCAAGTGGCCTCACCGCTACCCTGGATCCACTTCTGGATTCGACCTGCCTGCTGGGCCCATGCTGCTTGCCCTGGTGCTGGCTCTCATGGGACGAGCCAGCCACAGCCAGGTGGTGGGGAAGGGCACACAAGGGCTTAGAGATGATGGGGACAGCAGCTGGCAGGCAATGGACCTTCAGATGAGGTCCCTCCTGGAAGGGGATACAGGCAAAAAGCTGGCAGTTATACACAGGTGTTTGGCACAGGCACAGGGAAAGCCTAGGTGCTGACCAGGCAGTGACTCGAGTGGTCTTCCCTGGCCTCAGTTCTGTGAGATGCCTCCAGACAGGTGGTGATGGAGAGGGTCCACAACAGAGGGGCTGTGAGGCAGCTGGCAGCTGGTGAAGAGTTGCATCACTGGCTGGGTGCAGCCAACCACCAGCAGCGCCTTCTCTCTCTTCCCCTTGCTCTGCAATTCATGGCTGGACCGAGCATCAGGATGCTCTGCAGCAATGACGCCTGTGGTCTGGCAGTGTCCAAAGGTCAGCCTGGCCCTGAGTCTCAGAGCTAGCCTGACAGAGCTAGTTTACCTCCCTCTCTCCTGCTCGGAGGCCAGGCACTTTATTTGAGCCGATTTGACCCACAATATCATTAGTTCCCCTGGCACCACACTTACTTCAACAAGGGTGAAAGAGAACTCGCCCCTTCCCCATGCCTCCCTGTGCATTGACTCCATTTCCCTGTATTTCCCCCATGCAGATGGCTACACAGGCAGATCGAAAGTTCTCTATTCCATTCCCAAGTTTTTGTAAGTCAAGCCCAGCCCACTCAGAGGTAAAACAGCCTCCACCCCATGAGGATGCAGTAAAGCAGATAACTGCAAGATTTTTATTTTCTATAGAACTAGGGCTGTGCAGGGTGTTCTTTTGTGGTTAATACAACTCATCTGCAGAAGTTACAACCCATTATGGGGTCTCTGGGTAGGACAGGCCTGTTTCCATAAGAAACAGGCTTTTCCTGAAGAGTTAGTTGCTGAATGACTGCCACAAAACAGGCAGACACAATGCTGGATGGGATAGCATCTTCTGTGCAGATGGAAGGTGCCAGTCCACCCTGAGGTCCTGACATCCCACACAAATACCCCAGGACTTCGGTATACTCTTCTTTGGGGTGCTCAGTGCTACGTGAGAAACAGACTCTAGAGTATTCCCAAGTCACCAGGAAGCCTCACTTTCCCTCTTCAGGCTATACTGGAAAGCTACCCGTCAGAGAAAGACCTGAGGGTGTTGGTTGACAGTCAGCTGAACATGAGCCAGCAGTGTGCCCAGGTGGCCAAGAAGGCCAACACCATCCTGGCTTGTATCAGCAATAGTGTGGCCAGCAGGACCAGGGCAGGGATCGTCCCCCTGTACTCGGCACTGGTGAGGCCGCACCTCGAGTGCTGTGTCCAGTTCTGGGCCCCTCACATCACGAAAGACCTTGAGGTGCTGGAGCGAGTCCAGAGAAGGGCAACGAAGGTGGTGAAGGATCTGGAGCACAAGTCTGATGGGGAGCGGCTGAGGGAGCTGGGGGTGTTTAGTCTGGAGAAGAGAAGGCTGAGGGGAGACCTGATTGCCCTCTACAACGACCTGAAAGGAGGGGATAGCCAGGTGGAGGTCAGTCTCTTCTCCCAAGTAACCAGTGAGAGAGCAAGAGGAAATGGCCTCAGATTGCACCAGGGGAGGTTTAAATTGGGTATTAGGAATGTCTTCACTGAAAATGTTGTCAAGCATTGGAAGAGGCTGCTCAGGGAGGTGGCTGAGTCACCATCTCTGGAGGTGTGTAAAAGATGTGTAGATGTGGTGTTTAGGGACATGGTTTAGTGGTGGGCTTGGCCATGCTAGGTTTACAGTTGGGGTCAATGATCGTAAAGGTCCTTTCCAATCTAAATGATTCTATGATTCTATGATTAGCAAACTGCCTTGCTCCATGCCATCTGCCTCCCTTAGCCTTACTTTCGAGCGCTGTTCCCACAAGGAGGGCTGTTTCTGTCACCCATGAACCCACTTCTTGTGAGAGTCTCTTGGCAGCAGCCTCCATGCCAGTCATGCTGGTGCCTTTAGGAAAATGGAGCGATGCTGATGGCAGTGACAAAAATGGGCTTATGCTGGCTGGCAGGGAGGCATGCAGAAAGTCCTTCCAGTCTTCAGTCAGGGAGAGGAGGATGAGGATGCACTGCACCCAGGGAGCTGCAGGGAATGCAAGGAGGCACATGCCAGAAAGTGGTGTGTCCTGACAGATCAGGAAGAGGCTGTTTGTCGTGGCCACTGAGCAGAGGATCAGTGGCAAGGCGGAGGGAACCTGGCACCATGCTACCGGGATCCACTGTGCTTGTCCCAGATCCCTGTAGTGCTCACCGGAACGCCACGGCCAGCCCTGTGTTGGTGTGGCATCTCTCCTGCATGGGAGAAAGCTGTTTTGGGGGTCTAGAGCCACCTACCTGGCTTGTGGCTGGAGGGACTCTCCTCCTAACACCCTCTACTCTCCTCTTTGTCGTTTGCTGCAGCAGATGACACGAAGTCAGCAGATGGACGAGCTCCTGGACGTACTGATTGAGAGTGGAGGTACGCACTGCTTCCCTGTTCCCTCCCAGGGCTTTCCCCTCCAAGCCAGCGTTGGTCTATGGGACTCAGTGCACTATGTGCACCCCAGCAGAGCTGCCTGAGTTGAGTACAGCTTTCATTTGCCCTCCCTGTGCCAGCAGAGATTGAATCCAAAAGAATATTGGCCCTCCCCGGAGTCGGTTCCTACACGTGCAGACCTGGTAGCGTGGTTTGGGCTTGTTTATCGCCTATGCAGACTACACAGAGAGAAGGGATAGCAGGGCAGCAGCCCTGTGCACAGCACTGCCAGCACCTTCCCCATGCAGACCCCCCCGCCCCAGTGTCCCCAACCATTCCTAGTGCTGCCAGTGCTATTTCCCATATCGAGCACTGCCAGTGCCCTCCCCCATGCAAAGTGCTGCCGGTGCCCTTTCCCATGCAGAACCCATGCCCAGCCCTCTGGGGACAACTGTCAGTGCTCATGCCCTAGGGACTGTGTCCAAAACCAGGGGAGTGGAGATCAGAAAGCAGAAATGTGTGAGGCTTCCCACAGCAAGGGTGGGTGAGTAATGCCAAGGAGATTGAGTGGGGAGCAGGTCTCCATAGCCATGCCCAAGAGCCCAGTTTGTGGGCTGTGGTGGTGCCTCTGTGCCCAGCAGTGGTAGGCACTGCCAGAGCACCTCAAATCCCTCTCATTTGTTGACAGAAATGCCAGCCAATGCCAAGGAAGATCGGTCCTGCCTCCAGAAAGTACCTCAGATAACGGTATCTCCAGGGAACTCCGGTGCTTCACTCCCAAAGTCATCTGCCCCATTCGAGCAGATCTCCTCTGCCCAGCTCTCCTTTGAGCATTGTCCGGGCAGCAGTGATGCTCACCTCTGCTGAATGCCCACAGCCCCCTTGGGAGGGTCAGTGAAATTGCCCTGCTGAAAATGGGGGGAGAAGAGTCCCACTTCGAAGGGATGATGGAAGGATTCTCCGGCAAAGCCACAGATGAACTGCTCACCTCCCAGGAGATTTTACAGACTCCCCTCTCGCCCATGGAAACCCAGCTCTCCCCTTCCCCTGCCGATGGCTCCAGTTTACAAATGAGTTTCACTGAGTCTCCGTGGGAAACGATGGAGTGGCTGGACCTCACTCCCCCCAGCTCTGCCACTGGCTTTGGCTCGCTCACCCCCGTGGGTCCCAGCATCTTCAACATTGATTTCTTAGATGTTACCGATCTCAATCTAAACACCAGCATGGACCTGCACCTGCAGCAGTGGTGAAAGGGAGGGTGGTGGAGGCAGGATGCTGTAAACCTGCGTCAGCCAGCACAGTGTTTCTGTCATGCCGGAGAACATGCAGGGCTAACGTGCCACATCCAGGGGAAAATGGAGTCATTTTCCCAGCATATGAACTTGTTTGAACTTCCAGTTACTGCGAGCTGACAGCACAGCAGCTCTAGTACTTTGGTTTTCCTCCATCGACACATCCCCACAGAGGAGACCAGTGCCTTTAACACCACTTCTTTAGATTGACAAGAACTTCAGTTTTGTTTCTTTTTATCTTTCCCCCTCCCAATTTTAGCAGTCACTCTCATGAGAACTGGAGTAGCTCATGACAGAACTGTGTGGTGAGGAGACCTCACTTGGGCTCATCTTGGCCATGCCCAGGACAGGGGGTGTGGGAGCAGGGAGGCTCTGCCCAGCCAGGGCGACAAGCACACTTCTCCGTACAGCCAGGCTCACCTTGCTTCCTTCCTCCTGCCCCCGAAGCTGCAATGTCCAGTCCCTGCACAGTTCTGCTCCAGGTGGATGAGAGATGGAGACCACCATGTTTGTGGTGGCACCTTGTCATGTCCTCACGGTGCCTGAGGGGCTGAAAGCCCAGGCTGGCTGCAGTCTGAACTGAATCAGCTGAAGCCTGTGACCTTGGAGCAGAGAGTTCTGGATGTCGCAGGCAGTTGCTCAGGCTGCAGGTGCAGGTATTGAAGGGATGTAGCATCCCGGTGGAGCGGCCGCCTCCCAGCTGGTATGGTACAGACAAAGAGATGTGTAATGTGTTTTGGTCCAAGGTAGGAGCAAGTCATATGGAAAATACAGCCAGGCTTTGGAGGGGTTGTCCTTAGCAAAGTCAGAAGTCAGGATGGGTCTCCACCACCTTGCATGACCTGGGAGCGGGGGGAGCCAAAAATGGACACTCAGTGATCAGCACGTGGGGCAGGGCTGAGCAGGTTGTGGTTTTGTGCAAGCATCTGCTTCTGTTGCCTCCATTCCTCTGCCAACCATCCCTCCACCCATCTTCCCATTCCTTCTTGATCCCCAGCAGTCATCCCCTTTTTCCTGAGTTTACTACAGCATCACTGTTCACTCAGCCGAGAGCAAGGCCATCTGGAGAACAGCTATGAATCACTGAGCCTGGAGGAGCTAGTTCTCCTGAAGCTGGCAGAGATGGATGCTCTCCTGCAGTGATGCCTCTGATCTGAAGTCACCAGCATTTCTCCTATGAGTCTCTGTGCAATATACTTCCTCAGGCTCTAGTGAGAAGGAGCCTTTGCTTCACTTCTTGGCTTCCACCAAAGAACTTGCTGCAGACTGTTTGATGGACACATCTACTTCTTTGCAACTCTGGTTTTGCCAAAGTAAATATTGTTGCTGACAAAGATTGTTAAACTATTTACAGACTGAGCGTATTTAATATTTGTGTTACTGGAAGGACAGCAAATTGGAGATGCAGCAGCTGGGGAGGAGGTCCAGCGCGAGGGGCCTGCGCGCAGTCTGGCTGTGGCTCCCATGGGATGCTCCCCTCAGGGGTGCTGGAGCTGTTGGAGGAGGCTCCGCGCCCCCTGCTTTGTCTCCAGTTTGCGGAGTTGTTGCATGCTGTATAAAGCATGTGGCCATAGCTTTCAAGTCACTATTTAAAGCACCACTTTTTTATTGTACAAATGGTCACAGTGCACTGTTAGGATAGACGATCACAGGTTGCATTTTTTTAAAAAATAATTTCTTTTTCTAAGTGAGAGATTTTTCAAAGCCGGTCTGTGGAGAATATTAATAGCACTTGAAACAGAGTAGTGTTAGCTGCTACACTGCATCATTGTACAGGGCTTTCCAGATAACTTTCTCCTCTCAGCAAATGTATTTCCTTATTTAAAGGGATGCCGTCAGCTTCAAAATTGTAAGCAAGCACATTTCCTCACCTATGTTACCAGCAACACCTTCATTATTAAAAACCCTTGTCTTGCCACTCCATCTGCTCACAGTTTGCTGTTTGATTTCACTGACTGGGGCAGCCACATCCCAGCCGCGACCGTTTGGTATCAGCCCCGTGCTCTGAGACAGTTACAGTCCTCGCAGGAGTGTTTTTTTCACAGCAACGGTTTCTCCTGGAAGATTTCTAAACAAGCTAGCTGGAGTCTTCTGTTTCTGAAGGCTTTTTCTTCTGTTGACTTTGGTTTTGCTTTGTTCTCCTGCAAACCGTGCTCCTCTGGTCAGTGTCCCCTCCAACGGCAGTGGTTGACACACTGCCCAAACCCCTTTGCGTTTTCCAGCAGCCAAGCTCCCGGTGGCAGTGGGCTGCTGGCCACAGGGCAGGCCAGGGGCACAGGCAGAACTGAACCTCTCACTGCCCGCAGGCGAGCGTCTGTATAAGTATAAGTATATGTATAAGTAACTGTCTATGCCTCTCCAAGCACACTGCCACCCACCACCCATCTGGATCCCTCTGCTCATCTTTGGCCAGTTCCCCCAGAGCCTCTACCCACCTTTCACCCAAACTGACTCGGGGTAGGGGGACCAGGGCCACTCCTTACCCATGCATGGATCCTCTGCACCCCCTTGACCTGCTGTCATCCCCATATCTGCAGCACCTAAAAGGAGGCCATCAAGGAAGAAGGACTTCTGGCTGTGCAGGATGCACTGAGGGTCTCAGGGGGCTTCAGCAGAGTCGACATCTGGTTTTAAAGTCCAGACGCTTGTTCACCCTGGAGCATTGGTAGCAATACTGCTGTATGGTGAGGGGTTTTTTGAGATCACCAAAGCTACTACACATTTTGGCTCACCCACAGGAGGACAAGATGGCCTTCATATAGATGCTTTTTCTTTTTTTTATCACAGCACTCCCACACTCAAACTTCTACCAATTCGTTGCATGCAAGTCAGGGACTAAGTTCCTTGTATTCCCACCAATTTCTTACAGTTAAAATTTTGTTGTGTGCAAAAGGAAACATGATTTTACATAAATTCATGGCTTTATTGTTAGTTTCATTAAAGTCTTAAGAGTTGAATCAAAAAACTAGTTTTCAGTCCGGTTACAATGACACTAATAGTTTGTGTTACATACAACTAAAATCAACACTCACAGACCTCCTTGTACCTACCCCCTTTCTTGGGGTCTCTGCTCGTGTTTCACTGCCTCCCTGGGGCTTTCAGGAGGAGCATGTGGGGTGCCATGTGCCAGCATCCTCAGTCTTTGCCAGGAGAAGTAAAGACATCGATGTTTATGGGTTTTTCCTCCTCACTCTACAATCGGCTGTAGGAAACCGGGGTAATTTTTACATCTTTGCTAACATGTTCATTCTTCCTTGGTATGTAACTCCACATGACATCTGAATTTACTGTACTTAGTGTGATTTACCTATGCCAGAGGTTTGTTCTTTGTCCTCTTTAAGGTTGCCTGCCCACCAAATTACATTCCTTTGATGACCACTAACTGGCCACTGATGAGGTGTTTATAGCCCTGGGACCTCTGGCATCATCCTGTGCCCATTCCCTCAGGTCCCTGATGTCATCCCGTGCCAGTAGTCCTCTACAGTGCATTTTACTATAGCGGCATAGACAGTTACTTATACATGGAAGAACTGCTTGGTATTACTAGCTGTTACAAAATACATTGTGTTACAAACAATGTGTTACATCACACAATTGTAGGAGAGCTAAAACAAAGCAAGTAATGGTCATCTTGTCATTAGATAATTGTTTTTACAGCTAAACAAGCTAAAACAAAGGTCCAGGTAGGCTAAGACTAGTTCAGACAAGGCCTGACAAGTCTTGGGGACTCTTGCTAGCTTAGCACAAGGCTGTCACCTCGTACAAGCAGCAGCATCGCATTTACTGGGTTTCAAAGCTACAAAAGCATGGGACCTCAGGAGAAGCCATGGAGCATCTCCTGTATTGCTCATCTGATAAGGAAACTTGTTCTCCAGGGACACTTGAACCTCTCCCATCTAAGTAACCTCTCTTCCTGGTGCCAACCTCAGCCACCACCATGTGAAGTGGCTCTGGCCCCTCCTCACTGGAAATGCCCCTACATTCAGATCACACACTCATGGCAGTGATCCCATCAAAAAAGTGGCTTTGTCTGCACTGACTTTTCTGCAGGAAGCAGGAATTAGCTGGATTTCAAGATGGTTTCCTCTTGAAATTGGGATCAGATTCAAATGTCTTCAGGAAATCACTGTGATGTGGAATACCAAGATCTGAATCTTTCTGTCCTCCTTCCTTATTTGTTTCCGTCCTGCTTTTCCAGCTCAAAGCCAGGTGCAGGGGGAGAAAGAGAAAGAAACAGAGTACCCTGGTGCAGGGAACCAGGAGAATGGTTGTGGTCTGAACTACGCAGGTCGAGCTACAACTTTCCACTATGTACCTATCACTGATTCCTCCATGGTTTTTTTTTCTCAGCTGGTCAGAGTGTGCTTGATCGCATGGAACAGCACTCCCAGGTTGTGCTTCTGTGGAACACTGAGATTTCAGCATGTCTCCTGGATCGGTGGAACTAGAGGTGGTCACAAACTGGATGGCTCATGAACCAGTTCTGCAAATGTCTGGTAGGCCTCATAATGGAAGCTCTTTCTTCTCATCTTCTCAGAAACACGCGACAGCCTCTCAAGACAAATCACTTGTAATCAATCCATCATGAAGCTGTCAGCGTGCTGCAGCAAATGGGTTCTCAGTCCATCCTGAATCTGGTGAGAAACTGTTTTCCTTGGAAGGTCAGGCAGGATCCTCCCCTCTTCCCAAAATCTGACTGAACATAACACGGATTGCTTCCATCTCTATCCAACAAGCTGCACTCCTGTCTGACCAAGGGAGAGAACTGTCTCCACGGTCAGCCACTAAAGTAAACTTTCTTCCCAGACGCATAGAAAGAATTGAGGCATCTGAATTTTGTTGCCCCTTGTTTTCTTCTTATCTTTCTATCTGAGATGGCTGACTTATGTCGAGCATGGACCAAATTTGGGAAAGGAAGAGACAGACCAGGGGTGCTTTGGGCAGGGTAACGTGATACAACTGCCAGTGAGACAGAGCAGGTGTCTGGTGTCTAACGAGATGTTACACTCACGCAAAGTACCTTCTCTGATGGTTTTTGGTGTAGCTC